TATTGTGGACCTGAAGAGCTTCTGAGAGTATTGGAGTGACTTCCACATTCGCACACAATCCGACTATGTGATATCGATGCTCCCCCTTGGGTTTTGCCAATGGCGTGCGCCATCTTTACTCGATTTAATATACCTGCCTGTCGAAGGGATTTGGTGAGGGGGGGATGTTTATCCTCAGATTCAAACAGCCCCTTGGAGTTGATCGTTAAGTGGAAATCGAAAACGTGGAAGCATGACAGGTCACTTAGAGATTGGGTTACTCTCTTAACAAATTGCACGAATTTGAGGTTCAGGACACCCTAAATGAGGAATACGACTCGGTCATTTATAAGAAAAGGGCCATCACACTCATAGGCAGTTAATATAATATAACCACTTTTCAGCAAAGATTCCCTCGCATAAATGGTTAGAATGGCTACCGTAGCAAAGGAAAACCGATCGGAAAAACCCACCTGATCTACTGACATAGACAAACAGGCTGACTTGATCAGTGCATTCACTCGCACCACCGTGTCCGCACCAGATCCCTCAGCAAAAACGCTCTGGAACTGCTGTTTGGCCTCCGCTGCACGGCCCGACAAAGCCAGGTAGGTCGCATGCAGCAGTTTCGCCTTGTTATACGCCGCTTTTGCTTTTGCTATCTGATCAGCAGTCGGTTTCGTGGACGGAGATTCCGCTGGGTTTGGTTCCACGGTCTCCCCTGCGTTTAGGCCATTGATCGGGACAGCTGACGTCGGGTTAGTGGCACTGTCATTGGGTTCATCGCCATCGGCTGTCGGCTTGGATGATTCTGGTGGAGTAGGATTTGCTAAAGCCTGCGAAATTGTCGGAGAAACCAGTTCGAGGAGTATGACTCCATACAGTTATCAAAAATTAGCAAAACAGAATGCTTGTGGGTTATGATTCATACCATTTGTCTCAGCCTAGGGAGACTATGGATAAACGCTCGCTCCACGTGAGCGAGCATCAACTGCACCCCAAATAGAATTACGGCAGTCGTGGTACTGTCCTGTACTCAGTGTTGACAGTTTTGCAAAAATCCTGCAGCTAGCTGGTACACATCCTTGATTTCTTTCTCTTAGGCATCCACTGCGCACTCACGGAAGATTTGTGAACTGAGCTTTAGTTGAAGATGGCCTGATGTATGGTGAGGTAGTTCTGATCAGGGGAAAAGGGGATCAACAAATTCTAGCCTATCTAAGGAGGATTATCACAAAGACCCAAAGTTTATTACATTTGGAGTGCTTGTCAACGTTTTCTACGCCGTTTAGCCCAAGAAACATCCGAAATGAGAAGCCATCTCGTGAGGGAGCAGTCGCCGAGATGTGCGACAGTTTAACTCCTCAATAACTGGGGACGGGTCGGTGTTATCAGTGAAATGAGGACAAACTCTGACAATACATATTCGATTCCTGCAGTATCGCGACAAAAATTATTCACGTAAAGGACGGAATTATTCATCCGTTTTTGTTTCGCTAATTAAATAAGGCAATAGTTTTCAACAATGGAGGGATTTAGAAGCTGTAAGGAACACAGATTCATAGACGCGCTCTTGCATCAATGGTTGTGAACCCGTTTCAGCTTGCTTTTGAAGGCCGCCAAGATCCGCTTACTCATTCGTATAGATCGTTACTAGCAATCCGTTAGTAAGAATTGGAGCCCTACGCTTGAAAGTTTTCCGTACATCTAGCAACCAGACCAAAGCCTTTGTACTTAGATTCGAAAAACAGATCAAAACCAGTTTGAATAATTCTTGGTACATCGTGTCAATTCTAATTTCACAGGTAGTCACAGTAAGCGATGCTTTGTCATGTGAGGTGTTGGGAGAACACAAGACGCCATTCATTGCAGTTTTCACTGCGCTCACATAATCACATTACGAAAAGCTAATAAGCAATCTCCTGGACCAGATTATCGCAACTGCACCAATACCTATCATCCGACCGGAGTGGAACAGGGCCTGCCAGGCTGATCTAACTACTGTTCTTCGCCTAGCGCCCAATTATTACCTACAGTGCACTATTTCGAGAGGTGGGCTGGACTAGGAAAGCGTAATTAAGGAAGGTTCCCAGTCCGTGAGAGGGATTATTTTTTT